AATATTTATCTACATCTGGTGCGACCCATACTATCTGTTTATCGTGAACTACTTTTGAGATTTAAGAATATTATCGTAGACCAATACAAATTTTTTCAGCATATTTTGTCCCTATTCATATGCTTTCCAGAAATCCTTAGTATCTCTCTCGTTTGAACGTGATGATATCGGTTCATGCTCGAATTTAAAGCATATATACTTGAGGAAAAAGAAGAAAAAATCCAAATCTCTTGAGTGGCCACAATTGTACATAAAGTTGGGTTGATTCCTAGTAGCTTTATGGCCTTCTCAAGAAATCAAGTTCTTATTAGTATGTGCTTTGATTGCCTACCAAGATACAACTCACATGCTAACTTCCCCCTTTTTTTAATACACATCTCCATATTCCTAGCCCTACTCCTATGCCCACAAATTATGGGATCATCATTTTGGATATCAATCCAACTTCATCATTGGGGCATATATATCCCAATTGATTCAACCTATATAAAAATAAAAACATCATTTGAATCAACGTCCACCCTTAGAGGCCTCTATAAAGGTTGGCATCGATGATATAAACGATCAATGCCAAGAGATTCAAGAATCAGTTGTTGATAGTGAAATGAGATCATTTTAAATGCAAACAAGATTCGTAGAAATCCTTATGGAGAAGATCGTTGTATGACGATGAATAATCGAAGGGCTTCTATGGGTTGAATCGATAAATTGGCGGGTGAGAGATTGAACGAAATAACCAGTATTTTCTCATGGCATCGGTTTGGGCCTTCACGAGAATTTAGACGTGTTTCAACTATGTGTTGTTGAGGTTGAGATTTATATCTAAAGTAATGATTTAATTTTTAAAAATAGTTGGGAATATTTTGTTTTAAAATTTAACATTATTTATTATATGAAAAAATAAAGGTTTTTCGTGAAAAAGAACCATATGAGATTGACATATTTAAAAGTTGGTATCTTATACAATGAGTTTGCATAAAATTAGATCATGAAATATTTAATCTCGTTATAAATTTGCTAATTAAGAAGATTATTTCACTTACGATTATATGCGTTTTGATCTTAATCCGGAATAAGTTAGAATTTCTGTTCACGAGGGCTTGTCCGTTTATTTGTATAAGTGAGAATGACTATTGTAGCTGGTTCGATATGCCTACCATTTTGAGTAATTAAGTAGGAAGTTGGAAACATAATCTTCTGAGATGAAATTCACTATTTTCTATAAAAATAAGTGTTGATTTTAGAACTTGAATAACGGAGCTTTGCACTCTTATTAACTAAAAATATCCAGTTAAAGTGACCTCTAAATACCCAAAATTTTATAGGACATCTAATTATGAAATTACGAAGGAGTTAGACTTGAGAATGACAATATAACGGAGTCCTAAGCCTAATACGGTACTCATATAGCTAAGTACCATTCTGCCTAGACTTGCCTTGCCCTAGCACAGTCTAGACCTCCCACTTATCACGATGTTATGTTTTCCTCGCCTAGGTGGGATGACTTGCTTGGATTTCTGGTAGGATGCACTATTTTGCAAGATGTAAAACTCAAATTATGCCGCGCAGAAGATTTAGGGGAAAATCTAGATTTCGAATCATACTCTATATCTCGAACATAGGTTTCTTTCACGTTCATATTTTTTATCCACCATGTGATCTAGTACATCTTTTTAGGAGAGTGTTTTAGGATAGAACTAGTGCTATACATTGTGTTGTGTGTGGACCACACAAGTGCATGAGTCAAGGACAGGCAGCATATTGATCAAGACTTTTGAACTTAAAACCTCATAGTAGAACTTCATGTGTATGCATTATGGTCAAGTTCAGAGTATGGTAACTTAACTTCAGCCACGAATACGATCAAGAGCCTACAAGTAGATTATTAAGTATTTTTATACTCACTCAAATTTTTATTATCTTTTAGATAAGAACTAGATGCTGGTCGAGGATGAAAGCGGTCTAAAACAGGTGGACAGTCACCACCAATTTTATGACTTTTATTTCGGTCTTATTTTTGTATACGTCTGCTTATTTTAAAACTCGAAAAACTTTACCATTTTTTTATTCTTCCCGAATCAGCCAACATCACGACGAGAGAGATTCTAAAAGAATATATATTTGATGGTTGGCAATCATTCATTGGTTTGGTTAATAGCCTAAGGTTTTTCCAAATTCTAAACCTAAGCAACATTAATTCCTTTCATTTTTTTATCATATAAATTTGCATCATAACTCCTTAGTATTTCTAATGGTCAAACAACACCACCTTTCAATTTCTTTTCTAAACAAATCAATTATTGTAAAGCTGGCGTAACAAATCATACACAATTTTCCTCCAAAATCAATCAAAATTCCCTCGGCCCAATAACGTTTCTCCACCCGTCCCTTAATTTATTATATCATATTCATCGATGATACATGTTAATTACTTTTAAATGGGTTATAAAAATTATATTTGTTTTGTTCCATAATTTGTTACATTTGCTATTTTCTACTCGGGTTTGAGAGTATTAAAACCCTATCATATTTGAGTCTTAGAGTGTGGACCAAAAAAGCACGTGGGCACGTCTACGTAATCAAAGAGACGAGACAAGAAATTCATCCACGATAATGTTTTGAACTCATGAGCTAAAGAGAGATCTAACATGTTTTTTAATTATATAAAATATGTCATTGGCAAAGAATTAACTTCAATTTGATAGGCTATGCATATAAAATATGGCATCGAGATCGTGTAATGCTACCATTTTAATCGTATAAAATATTTTGATTTTAGAAGGGGTTGAATAACTCAAAATGGATATCAAATAAAAAGCTTGGAAAGCAAGAATGTCCACAAAAAGTAAAGTGGAATACACGCATAACAATGACACATGACACATCCAGAGTTAATCATATAGCACATTATGATACAATGATTGGGCAATTATTGATATATAATAATACTAAAAAAATATATTTATAATACGTTTGATATCGTACTCAAATAAAATAACATCAATTAAAAAATTGAGTATTACTTGTTATGCACAAGTTACTCACGAATAGCTTTAATTGTACGCTCTGAATAAGACTTTTTTACTCAAACTAACCAACTCAAAACTCTAAATACGGATTATTTAACTCACATAATGAATAACTCCACGAATTGAATAACTTTAATAACTTTATGAGCATCCATCAAAGACAGCAGGCTGCTGGATTTGTTATGGCCGACTTTACTGAACAAAAAAAATTAAGAACTTTGATGGAACAAAACCTAAATTTTAAGACTTAGATAGAGATAAAATCTAATGTGGTGGCGTAATTGTCTGATTCAAAATCATATAAATGCACCCACTGATTATTGCTCAGGCAAGAGCAGTGAAGTCTCTGGTTTTTAAACTGGTTGTGTTGCTGATCATAGTATATCCTACCCAGCATTCCTTCAACGCAGCTGATACTCAACAATTGGTATCCTTTGTTTATTTATTTCTTTTCCAGTACTTAGTTCCTGTTTTCCATGTTGTGGTAAGAATATGGATTTTGCTTTTAAAAAATGAACTGTTTTTGAAACATTTATCATGGAATTGAGTAGGTTGGAGTGGGGAACGATACAGAGGAATTGAGTTGAATATGTGGTTCTGATGAGATCCCACGTAGGTTGGAGTGGGGAACGATACAGAAGAATTGAGTTGAATATGTGGTTCTGGTGAGATCCCACGTAGGTTGGAGTGGGGAACGAAACATTCTGTATAAGAGTATGAAAACTCTCCCTAGCAGATACATTTTAAAACTTCGAGGGGAAGCCCAAAAGGGAACGTCCAAAGAGGACAATATTTGTTAGCTGTGATCTTAGGCCGTTACAAATGGTATTAGAGCTAGACACGGGGCGATGTGCCAGCAAAGAGGTTGAGCCCGGAAGGGGGTGGACATGAGGTGGTATGCCATCAAGGATGTTGGACCTTAAAGAGGGGTGATTAGGGGGTCCCATAATGATTGAAGGGAACGAGTGTCAATAAAAACGCTGGGCCCCAAATGGAGTAGACTGTGAGATCACACCTCGGTTGAAGAAGGAAACAAAACATTTTTTTATGTTTTTTATAAAGGAGTAAAACCTCATGTTTTGTTTTTTTATAAGGGAGTAAAACCTCTCCCTAGCATGTCTGTTAGTGGCCTTGCGAGGACAAAGAATGTTCAAGGAAAGGTAGGGTTGCATTGGTTACTAATGTGTTGGAACTTGATGTCCTACCTGAGACCAAAAGCCATGGAAATGTTCCCGTTGACAGGAAAGGCAGGATTAAAGCCATTTACATTATTCTCACTCATTGACAGAATACTTTTAATAACAAAGCACACAGAGTCCAAAGGAATTTGCAGAGGAGACAAAGGCAGAAGCATACCAGTATAATGGGTTTATCTCGACATTTGTTCAAAAACCATGGTACACATTTCCAACAGATCAAAAGGGGAACGAACACATTTTGATTCAGGAGGTTCCTCCTGGTTTACATGTGCTGTCTAATGAAGAGCTTCATTCTCTTGGCATAAGGTTTCTAAACATTATTCAAGCCATATAACAATATATTCAGATATAAGAAGCAAAAAGGACAAGGAAAAATGAAGGATGGAAGAAAGATAAGATAGTTAGTGGCCGATTGCTTCGACTTTCTACAGGCACAGAGCTTGAGGCTAAAATTTAACAAACAGCTACTTATATTTGATGAAGGTGAAATACCTGAGAAATACTTGATTCAGAGATTAATGAGGGACACCGTAAAAGCTGATGAAACAAAACTGCCTCATACATGCCCCCTCGTCTTGGAGTTCAATTTGAGCCTGCATTTGTCCAATTTAACACTCAATGGTAAGCAAATACATTTACTTTTGTTGTGGTGGTCTAATGGCCCAAGCCCACCAGATATTGACCTCTTTGGGTTTTCCCTCAAAGTTTTTAAAACACGTATGCTAGGAAAAGGTTTCCACACCCTTATAAGGGTGTTTCGTTCTCCTCCCCAACTTATGTAGGATCTCACAACTTTTATTTTATTTACAGCTGGGATTTTGATACAGTTCTTTTCACATCGTTTTAATTTTCAACAGAAAGGGAAGTTACGGTACCAGGAGCACAACTGTGATGACTATATCTACAACAGAAAGGGTAAAATATTATGAGACATATCTAGACATAGACTTACCACATTGAGCAGTGGAATTAGAAGGTATAGATAGCAGAACAGAATCTGAATTAGAATTAGGCTTACTGATCAGTATGTGTCAAAATTTGTATATAATGTATTTTGTTCAGAAGAGGATATGTAGACAATATGTATGCTGCAGCAAAAAATCAATTGTACTTTTAGATGTCTATTGAAATACAATGATGCAATGTTGCCAAATGAAAAAGGAAAATAAAAGGAAATGCCACCAACCTACCTAGAATTCAATATCCTACATGATTCCACAGCAACCAAGTGTACTAGGGCCTAAGCGGTTGTTTGGTGAGATTATATATATATAACCAAAAGGAAGGATAAATGAAAATGGCAGCCAAGAAATTGTCTATACAGAAACATTTATGCTCCCAGCTAACAAATTATCTCACAACCTCATGGCTCACGCAACATTTTGTCCATCGAAGCAATCAGAAACATCAATTTAAATGTGGCAGATCGAGAAGGAACCAAGAGATTAGCTCATTTAGGACATGTTTGAGAGTGATTTTGAAATAGCTTAAATCCCTTTCGTTACAACCAAAATCCCCCAAGCATATGCATTTATATTTATTCAATATCAATTTTGATGGGGTGTGAATCACGTTTAGAAGTGTAAAATCGAACATTAAAATGAATGATATAAAACATGTTTTGGAGTGGTTTTAAATGTGATAAAAGTGATTTTAGTCATTTTAAAATCACCCACAAACACGTTCTTAATAAGTTGAGAGGTTCAAAACGCCGAGACAAATAACAGACTAGTGCAATGAAAATGAAATTGCAATACTCTGAAACAAGTCTAGTAATTATTCGATGGTACAAACCAATGACACAAAGTATAAACAAGATTGGAAATAATAAATCTCTTACTAGAAATGTATCATCTTTTTGCTTGCAACAACATTGAAGTAATTTGTTTGTCCATGACATATCCAGCATTCTCTGCTTCCTTGTAGATTTCCTTACACTTGGCTAACCTGCCAGCAGCTAAATAAATGGTAATCAAGTTCCTATATATACAATATGTAGGGGTAAAACCAGCTTCCTTAAGCTTTGCAAAGTATCTAACAGCCCTTGAAAGATCCCCAAGAGCAACAAAAAGCTTTATCACTACACTATAAGCAGGAAGATCAAAAGGACAATTTGCAGCCTCCATTTCCCACACTACAGATAATGCCTCCCTATACTTCCTCTCTGAATATCGATTATGAACTAAAGCAGTGTACATAACCACACTGGGTTCATGCCCAGATTCAACATACCAGCTATAAAGTTTTTCAGCTATTTCAAATTTACCAAGCCTTGTGCTGACCTTAATGATAGCTGAAGTATCTTGCTGGCTTAAATTCAATGCTTCTCTTTGTCCTAGTTCATCTAGTAAGGCAAGTACCAGCATGTTTTTATCAGGGTTCTTACCAATCTCCAATATCAACTTCACATGAACGCTAGGATCCAACATTCTCTTACCGTTCTTGGCAGCTACAAGAAGCTTCCAAGCAAGGCTTAACCTCCCACCTTTGATAAACCCTCTCATCATTGCCTCGAGCACACCACGACTCGCAAGTTTAGTGAACTCATCCAGGTTGAAAGGTATTTTAAGTTCATGGTTCCTTGCGAGGACCTCAACGGTAGAGGCCAAAACACGATCATCTGGATAGAGTCGAGGTTGCTCTTGTACCCAACAGAACGTCTTTAGAGCTCTATCAGCAAGACCCATATGACCTAGCTCCTTGATCGTTAACGACAGCGACCCCTTCTGCAAAAACGGAGCCCACCTATTGAGAACTTTGGACACATTCTCCTCCGGTTGCAGATCTCTAATCGCTCTTGCAAGGCCAATAAGAAAATCGGGGCGTTTATAGACTTGCTTAGACATCAGTGCACGCGAAGAAACCGCTGTTCTTGGGCGAATTTTAGGGTTAGGAAGTCCTGGTGGTCGTAGCTTGTGAGGAAGTGGGAGAGGGAGAGGTCTCTCCCGGTTCAATTTACCAGGTTTCTGAGGAATTCTCCCTCGGAAGAGTGATGTAATAGCTTCAATTTCTTCTGGATCCCAAACGATATCACTGTCGTTATCATCATTGGCGAAATAGTTATCCGCAGCCGTTTCTTCAAGCTCGTCAAGTTCTTCTTCCGGCAATCCGATTTTCTCACTCGGAATCAAATCTGGGTAGGATGTGTCAGGGTGAGGGTCAGAGGTTCGTTTCTTCAAGAATTGATTGACGCCGGGATCAGGGGGAAGCTTGGTCCGCCGTGGATAGAGGAGGTTTTTTGGTGGTCGTCTTTTGGAGTTGGTCAGGAAATGAGCCATCGGAATCTGGCAGCTAATTCCTCCATTTCGTTTCACCAGAATGGAAGAGACTGCAGTGGTTGAGAACAGGGAATCCATGAATCTGAACTGCAAGTTTTGCAGGTTGCAAATTCAGTTCATTTGCGCTCAAATGGGGAGGGAGGCACGTAATTGTAAAACTATCCCCTAAAAGTTTTCATTTTCTCCTATCACCATTCACGGCTAAGGACTCACTCAAGTATTCCACTGCTTTTAACCCCAGAAATTATGTATTGTTTTTTTGCTCCGGTTTCCATTTTGTACTACGGAGATTCTTCCTGCTTCTCCTTCGTACTACCACCGAGATTCTTCCTGCTTCTCCTTCGTACTACCACCGAGATTCTTCCTGCTTCTCCTTCGTACTACCACCGAGATTCTTCCTGCTTCTCCTTCGTACTACCACCGAGATTCTTCCTACTTCTCCTTCGTACTACCACCGAGATTCTTCCTGCTTCCCCTTCCTACTACCGAGACTCTTCCCGCTTAATGGGCGAAGATCACCGGAGAGAGCAGGGGGAGAGATCGAGCTTCTAGAAATAGTAAATGGTCTTCTCAATACACAAATGTATAACTCCCACCCAATTTTCATTGCCCATAATGACCATTCTTCAGAAATTTCAGCGGAATTTTTTACTCATTCCACACTGAAGGGCACCCAAAGTGATAAAGTAAGTAATTCTAAACAATTACAAAAAAATTTGTGTTGATTAATTATCTTCAAGGTCTTCTAAGAATCTAGTTGAAGAACAAGATCCAAATAAGGGAAAAATTTGTTGGATTACCTTGATGATCAATACCAAGAGTAAAAGAACTTGTTTCTAACCTCGTGATTCGAATTACTCAACAAGATACTATAATCAAGACTACTTAAATGACTCTAGCAAATCTAAACACAAAAAAATGAAAATGAATAAGCTTATGACTTAAGAAACAACATGGATGATTATTTACCGCCTTGAAAATAAACCTTAATAACCTATGTTAATTAAAAATGTTCATCAATATCATAATTGTCACTAGCTAATTCTAACTTATAATCATAAAAATAATTCTCTAAAATTTTACAAAAAAATACAATTAAACCTTCCACATAAAACCTCTGTGACATGATTAAGACACTTTATTTCGTAGGATTAAATCTTACGAAATTTTTATGGCTTTTAAAATAGTTGGTTCGTCGTTAATGACCTCTCTAGTTTTTCTTCATTTTTTTTTTTCATTCTTCATTTTATACAACGTTAGAAGGTTGGTTTTATTTGAGTTTCTATCATACATGAGAGGTTGGTTTCATTTAGACAACGATTTTTCTTGCAAGCATTCTCTATCCTTTCCATTTGAGTTTCTCACGACTTCTCCTCATGAGTGTTGAAGCCGATGCAGAATAACGATATGACTTAAACCAAGATGAATAAGTTGAAAATAGTAAATGATCCTTAGAACGTATTTGTAAGTTCTTATACCTTCAATTTTATGAGGAATTGGTTGGCTTTAAACACCTCGAGTCTAAAGAACTTGACTCAGTTGCCTTCATTTCAGCCACCTCGATTTTGTGCCTCAATTTTTCCATGATTCAGCAGACAACCACCACTAATAGGGCTGTGTCCTCCCCACGGGGGTAAATGCTCTTTAAGCGAAAGTCAGTCTTTTGGAAGGTCAGGCACTGAACAGATTGGTAGCCCTTCTGGATCACAAAAGTAAGAAGGTTGTCAATGCAGCGCTTGCGGCACTATCTACTGTTTTGGATGATGGCGTTGATGTTGCGCAGGGTGTGAACATTTTGCACCACAAAGGTACGGTTCAGCCAGAGAATCTAATAAGAATGGCCGTTTGGACAGTCGTGAGATATGACAATCAATCAAATCGAAGAAAATTACCGTGTGTTACAGTCATGCTTGTCTAATGTTGCCTATAGTCACATGGCAGATGTCTCGGTCTTGCTTGTTTGAGTCGGCTGACAAAGACGTCAACTAATTAAATAGGGAAGGATGTCACGGTCATGTTTGTCCAAGACGTGTTCCCTATGTCCCGGTCTTATTTGTCTACGACATGTTGTCTATGGTTACATGCCTTCATCTTAGCTTTTACTATTTCACGTTGGGTCAATACGGGGTGTATGACCATTCACCAAAATCATGTCTACATCCACCAAGGCTAAAATGCTCCAAAATGTACTATAGGGATATGACTAGCTGTCACTTTTTCCTACCTTGCTTGAGTTTATATGCTATTTAAGCCGTAATATTTCTTAACTTCTTAATTTGCTTATAGTCATATAAAGTTGTTTTTTTTTTCAATTTTTCAAACCATTTTCAAATGTATTTCTTCACGCACATTTTCAAAACATTTTCTCGCAATGTGACTCGAGGCCCTCACATATGACGACGTTGTCCAAGACCGTTCGAATTTCTCACGACTAACTTATTCGCTTGGTAAGAACAACTGCCACACAATCAACATCAAGCTCAAGCTCTTGTCCAATGATTTGTGCCTTCGCTCATCATTACATCTTTTCTGGTTTACGAGATTGTAGCCAAAGTAATGGAGGTAGATTTTGGATGTGTAAAGTGTCAAGCTCTTTAGAAGTGGTAGGATAATGATTGGAAGTACTAGTGTATGGTTGATCATTGTTCATACAGCAACCAATCAAATCAAATTAAATGATCATTCATTATTGACAACTAGATAATGGTAAATTTAATCATATGATTGATACTGAAACTTACACTATGCTGGGGCAAACAAATCACTGTTCTTGCTGACGTTTCCATTTTCGTTAAAAAAATCTATCATGCCATTTTTGTATTTCACTCGTAATACAATACAATAGCAATTAAATGGCTCATTGAACTATCATCATAAGCATATTCCAGCAGTTAACTAATATCAGGCACTCCAACATTTGCTGTACACTAAACCATGTTCGAACTGATATTTCGTCTAAGCATGACATTTTTTTGACAGAAAATCACACAGTAGGGTGCATTTGGTAGAAAAGAAAGAGAACACGAAGACCCAAAAGTACATTCGGACAATGGGGGTGACAATCGGCACGGTAAGTTTATTGTGCTAAAACTTCAGTTCGTCAAATATTAAACAACATCACCAAATTAGAGAGAGATAAAATCAATTACGAGGAAGATAATTTGACAGAAAATCACACAGTAGGGTGCTGCAATATATGACCCTGAATGTCTGATGAAGAAACTAAGATGAATTGATCGCATCCAAAAAAAATTTGATACAAAATATGAAATATATTTGCATTGCACCGCATATCTTCAACATTAGAAAGTGTTATTTCAGATATCTTCGAGCGTTAAGGAAAGGCAGTTAGAAAGAATGGACCTTAGAGATGGAGGACTGCCATTGATTTGGTCAAGCAGGAAGAAGCATCCATTTCATGAGTTACACGAGTTCTCGAAATGTGATTCCAGTCTGATACTGCGTTGGAGATGTCACACACTGTCAAAAAGTCCAGTACCTGGCCGAAGATTTTAAACATTTCGATCCCAAATATCAGGTTTCTATCCGCAACAAATGCAGCGTTCCAGTCCATTGGCGCATCGGGATGCACTGATACCTCTGTCCAGGCAAGGTACACGAGATCTAACTCCCAGAGTTTCCTGATAGCCTTGTTTCTCTGCCCTATTTGTCCATCCCCTTCACACCAGGAGACAGAAAGCATGAACAAACGGCCGTTAGAGGATACTAGTTTGGGATAGTACTCATGAACGCGAGGTGGGCATGGAGATGTATGGATTCCAATCCAGAAGCCTCTTTCGATGTCGTAACCTGCAAGTCTGTCTGTATCAGAATAAACATAGAAGATCCCATTGCAAACAACCCCAGAACATATGATACCGAAATCTACAGGGAGCCTCTGAATTTCTGTCCATTTATTTGATGAGGAATCGTAAATCTCTCCAGAATCTAATGGCTCATCCCAAGATCCTCGACCGCCTATAGCAATAATCACAAACCTACGATGTCCTTTTGCACGAGACTGATCACTCTTTTGTCGAATGAACTTATATGACTTCCTATTAGACAACATTGAAACGGTATTGTCTTCCACAGGATTTCTGACTTGAAGTCTTAGTGAGAGTCTGTGTGGATCCTCATAAACATCCAAAGAGCCACCGGCACGTGATCTCAAATAACGTCTATCTTGCCAATTATGCTGGCTCTGAACTATCGGAAATTCTGAGTTTATCTCAGAAGTTCCCAGTATAGGAGTTGATCTGGCATGCTTCATAGACGCAATTTTGCGCCAAGATTTAGTTAAAGGACTAAACACTAAAACCCCTTTATGTGTCCTGAATGAGCTCTTATCCATTTTCCCAAAGTTGGTCAAGCTAGAACATCCACCAACGATATATATATCATCCTGGATACTGGCTGTAGAGAACATAAATCTTCCCTTGAGAACATCAGCATTTATTCTATGCCATTGCTTTAGAGATACATCCAGTGCATGTATCTCGCTGGAGCAATAGCCCTCTTTAACAGCACCAAATAAAAATATCCATGGAGTCTGATATAAACATTCCCGCCTCATCTGTAAAAACCGAGGAGTGCTAGTCAAGTATCTCCATTTTTTGCACACAAGGCGAGCATTCATGAGACTCACAAGAGGGAGCCTCATCAAGCATATTTCCAGAATGTCATCAGGAAGAAAAATATGAACATCAATGTTTCTTGTAGAGTCTCGAAGTTCAGAATACTTTGGACTTTGTTTCTTACGAAATCTCTCCTTTACACCATATGAGAAGCAATCCACACTATTTTCTTCATTACTGAATAATAATTTGTACCCCTTAGCTTCGTCACTAGCACTGGATCTCCTTCTACTGCCTGGGTCACCAATTTCCTCACCAGTGTCAGCACCGACTTTGCAACCTCCACCTCTACCATATAATGTAAGACATCTCAAAGATATTCCCCTTGAAATATCCTCTTCCTCAGCAACACCTTTGTGATTCTTCCTCAATTTCTGGCTCATGCTTCTCATGAGCCGTTTTGACATGCTTAAAACCTCAAAATCTTGATGAATGTATTCCAATTCAGCTTGTGTATTGGATAACATCCCTCCAGATCTTTGAAGTAAAAGTCACTCTTCCCATGACCATATGAACCATAGTTCAAAATTCATACTTAGACACACTTCATTTTTCTATCTAAGACTCGAAGGACTGAACTGTCTCACACGAAAAACCACATAGCCGCACACCAAAAGTAGAACACTATTCCTTACTCACTTCTTCAAGTACCTGAAAAATGTACCACGGTTCGATTGCAAAATAAGCAAAGAGAAAAAAAGGGGAAAAAATCCGGTACCAAACTCCCTAACTTTCAAATAGCCGTGAATTCCTGGTTTAAGAACTCACAACCGCAGTCACACACAATCATCCAAGAACAGAATCACGAATTCCCTCGTTGTGACTGTTCACACAACCTCACAACACAGAGTTTGAACAATGAAAGCGATAGAAATCTAAAACGTAGAACAAAAACACAAATGAAAA